TGCAGTGCAGTCGAGTTTTCTTCATATATTTGCATGATCACAGCAGTGGGCGTCACTGGTTTTGGTGTGTAAAAGAATCCTGGTGAATCCATACTTGTGGGGACATTTTTCTGGAAACACACCTTTGTTTTGAGGACCCTATTCATTACGGGGACATTTTGCAGGTCCTCAAAATGTAAGATTGTATTTTGATGTAAAAGACACTTTTTTAATAAGATTGTATTTTGATGTAAAAGACACATTTTTAAAATTTTTTTTTATTAGATTTAGAGTCAGGGTTAGAGATTAGGATTAATTCTAGGCTTGTGGAAGGTAGGGATGAGGCTATGGAATCCATTTTGTCTACGTGAAGTGTCCATACCTCACATAGACACATGAGGTGTGTGTGTCTCAAGTGTTGGGGAAACTGTTTGGATGACAACCAAATTGCTTCCAGTTCATACACAGGTAGAGACATAAATCATGTGACACATTAGGGAAAATAATTTTAAAACAAACGAGTCAGATTTCAAGCACCCTGATTGGCCCGTTTTGCTAAGAAGACGTCTAATTCACATCTGTCTGCCAGTAATATATATATATATATATATAAACATTCTAAATGATTTATGTGTTAAAATCGTGTATTCCACTCCACTTCAAACAACAGTCAGCTGCTTGTTTACAATCTTTGTATCTAGCAGCTTATTACTATTGCTAAATTTGGTTGATTTTAGAAGCGTTTTCAGAACATTAAAGAAGCCAGTTTTGTAGTTAAAGATTTGTAGATGATTTCTCCTGCTCTGCTGCACTGACGAGAATTATCACCCAGTAAAACAACAGGTCTGCGGTAATATATCAATGATGTTTGTTACTCCAACCCACGTCTATGCTAAATAAAATACGCACAACCTTTAAGTGCATGACTTTACATGCACGTAGCATCAACAGTGATGGCGTGTATCACGGTGTCATATATTGTGTGTTTATCCCTGCGGCTCCAGGAGGCACGTGATTGCACAAAAAACACTCCTGAGTCCACATGTACTGACCAAAAGCACTGACGTGAGACACACAGCAGACACTCAGGAGAGAGAGACGGTGAAGAAGTGACGCCGTTCACAGCTTTTCCATTTTCATCATTTAAAGCGGGAGCCTGATCCTGCAGCTACTTTAATCTCCTAACTCTGGAGCCTTTCTCTTTGTGCACCATTTTCCCTCTCTCTCTCTCTCTCTCCCTCTCTCGCTCTCTCACTCATTTACAGTAATGCAAATTCAGAGCCAAAGCTCTGAGAGCCTCGCCACAATCAGTGCAGTTATTTTTGCATGCATTTAAATCCTTCACATGTTGCCTGCATGTTATAAATGTGTGTGAGTCGGGGTTCGGATGCTCGCCTCTGCCGTTTCCATTATCCTTGTCAACCCCGGAACATGATTTATGATATGTAAGAGGATATACAGCAGCTTTTCCTGCACTGTTCTGTGTAATGGGAGGGAACGCGGCGCGTGTAGTCGAGCAGTACCATGAAGTACTGTAGATAGGAAACATTAGATGACTTGATTACCAAGCATCACGGCAAAGAGCAAATTTATGGGATGGCGCAGCAGATGGCCCGGTCGTCAAGTGCATGGTCTGCTACAGTGCTCGGTGGAAAATGTGGCATGACTTGTCTACGAACAACACACACACACACACACACACTCGAGGTCCTTGTTTTAGTATGACAGAGACTGATGAATGATCTGATCTGTGTAGGAACTGTTGGAAATAAGTTTCTGTTTTCCTTTTATGGAGGAAAAAATATGAGATAAAGTTAGATAAGATTCAAGTGTGTTTTTATTACACCTGTCACCTGTAAAGGGCAATAAAGTGCATATTGCATATCATCAGAAGAACATTAACAGTAACGACATAGTCATAGCTGTAGTAACTATAATTCTGCTCATGTTTATGTTGTGTAATCATTACACTTGGTATGAAACAAAATGCTGAATTCTTTGGTGCGCTCCTTAGATTCTGAGAACCAGGAATCAGTCATGTGATCCAACAGCAACGTCAGTTAAAAACACAGGCGAGGAAAATTGTCGATTAAATGACGAGGTTTCCTTTGAACTCTTAACATTTCCTGTGGATGTAACCTTGTTTTCTGTTGCTACTGTTAAAGGCTCTTAACATTTCCTGTGGATGTAACCTGAGTTCCTCTGGGGTTGTACCAATACAATGTTTTTATTACAAAGCAACTACAGTACAAGTATTGTCATTGTGTACCCACTGATACTGGATCCCAGCACCAATACCTTTCTATGTTGGGTTTCAATTATATCAATAATAACAATGACGTGTTGGTGACATTGGCAGTGTGTGGGTTTGAGTCGGTGTCGTGCAGTGAGGTTCATGCCTGGTGTGGCACTCGATGTACAAATATATAATCCCGAATTAGAAGCTTATATTTCATTTTTGACTTTATTGCACTGAAATATATGTCACAGGTTTTTTTGTAAGTGTCTCAAACTGGGAAAACAAGGTTTTCTATTGCTACTGCTAAAGCTAACTTATTATACCCCTTTTCAAGTCT